TGTTTGAAAAACAATACACACTCATTGACAAAACTAAAGAAAGTTGAAAGTCTTTGTTGACGACGCTTGCCTGTTTTTTTTTTTTTTTTTGGAAACAGAGTAAATTTTATTCACACATGGTTATCTCGTGTTTTCAATAAAGGTCACTGTAATATCTTTCAAAGTTATTATCTGAATTCCGATATACATGCTAATGGTACAACTTCCTTAAGTTTTGTCCATGGATATCTTTCAGAGTTATTGTCTGAATCCCGATATACATGCAAAATGGTACAACTTCCTTAAGTTTTGTCCATGAATATCTTTCAGAGTTATTGTCTGAATCCCAATATACATGCTAAAAAGTACAACTTCCTTAAGTTTTGTCCATGAGTATATATCGAACAGGGTGTCCCCAATATATACCATGTTTCAGAAATTCTGACTAGTCAGCCTATTTACTGTATCTGAATGTATAATATGCTGAAGCAGTAAACTTATTAACTTCTTTAGAGGCTAAATTAAGCCAAATACAAATACGAATTAAAGATTCGAGAATAAGTAAGTTTCAAAAGTATAAACAATTTATCAATCAAGAGATTAGAAACAAGTTTCTTTATTAATTTAAAATTACTCCCCTTTAGAAACTTCTTCCTTTAAAATAATTATATATTTAAGGTCAAAATATATTCCAAACTGGATATTTGTTATGTATTGAAGGAGGTAGGAATATATCCAAGCTGAAGATTGAATTTGGAATTACAACGCCATTTGGAAAACTGTGAGGATTTGCCAGTTTTAAATCCAATTTGAACTAATAAAAATTTTGTTGAAAATTTCCTGACAAATAGGAATATCCGTTTAACAACTTCTAAATTAAATAAGATATTTCTGATTTGACTAATATCTGACGATATCAAGTCATAAAGACAAGTATGAGTGGTCTTTTTAAAAGCTAATACTAGATGTAAATGATACTAGGACACTAGATAAGCTGCGATTGATGGTTACTAACTGATTAAAGAAAAGCAATAGGCAGACGCATTCTACTTCACCCAGTCATGATGGTTGTCAAACAGACACCATTAAGGGTTACAAGCTTGATACCCTAATATGATTGAGTGGAGATAAGAAAGAAGAAGAAGAAGACGTGGAGAATATTTTTTCATATAATAACCAAAAGTCTAACTCGATTTGATAGACACTATAACAACATATGTACCGAAAAAAAAAACCTTTTAGCAATATTTTTTATCGCAGTAAGAGCGTTAGGAGAGAAATGTTTTTATGTTTATCCTTTTAATAGTATCCTTTAGTGTAAAAAGTTCATAGTTTCATTATTAGTGAAAAGAAACATTCCCGTCTTATTGTCTTCATTCTTTATACATAGATGGCACGTTATTGCTATGTATTAATTTATGCCTAACTTGTCCTTATTGTTTGCGGAAGAGCATTGCTCGATGCAAATATTTACATGTAATTCTACTGTCCTAAAAGCTTATGTCCATAGTTTACTTAAATATAATTTCTAAGATTCTACCTTTCAATTCAGCATATAAAAGCAGAATAATCCAATACAGTATTAGAGCTCTAAAGAAGCGGTTTGATAGATTAAATTGGTGAAACCACTGGGAGGGTTCACCACTGATAAGCCAAGCCCTCCTAATATTTTTTATCGCAATAAGGATAGTAGAAGTTTGATTCATTTGTGAAAGAAACATTCGTATCTTAATGTCTTCATTCCTTATATATGAATGACTCGTTATTGCTTTGTATAAACAACTACTAAAGAATAAAACGACAAATGCTAACTGGGCAAAATCCACTAACACCGTTCTATCGATCTAATAGGTTAAACTGGCTGAAAACGTTCACCCTAATGAAATCCTAACTGGTTTTATTATATACCTTTAATTTACTATTGGATGGCAGCTTATGGGTATTTTTGGGAACCTATGGACATCTTCTTCTTCTTCTTTCTTATCTCCACTCAATCATATCAGGGCATCAAGCTTGTAGAGCTTGAAACTTGACAACCATCATGAATGGGTGAAGTAGAATGCATCTGCCTTTGTCATTTATTTTATTTATGCTTATGAGGTGATACAGCAGCGTATTTACAATTAGAGAGGAGACAAAATGAATTAAATCTAGAAAAAAGAAGTGAGGACATATCGGTCATTATGACTGGGAGCACTATTCAGTGACAGGCCGACTTAGTTCCAATAGAAATGGCCGCCTCTGACATGAGGAACAGACGCCATGTGCAGCCGCTCCTAACATGGAATACAAACGCTGCTCATCCGTATCCCTGGATCAGGAACCCGTACAGGGTACTATCAGCCGGGCCAGCTGAGCCCAGGTTTTTTAGTGAGCTTGTTACTGCTCCCCCTCCTCCTTTTTTCATCCGGGCTTGGGACCGGCAAAGGCGGAGTTCCTATGGACATAAGCTTATAGGTCTGTAGAGGTACATACATATAATATCAACAAATTGCATTGAGAAAAGCTCTTCCACAAATATGGTTTCATATCAAAGCTTTATTAGCAAATTATATTTAGAAATTTTATTGCCATATACAGGGTCCATTATGAAAGTAATGAGCATAATGTTATTGTGACGCGACGATAGATGGCAGCACGGTAAAACCGTAGAAAATGTGGTGGAGGGATATGCCCTTTCAATCCATCCGGTCGTCAATTGGGTTCGAGCAGTGTGAGGGGAGATACATGCCTCCGCTTGAAGTGTGTTTTCAACTTTTGTAACATAGCGCGATGGAGCGTTCGCTTGAACAACGATATGCCATAAAGTTTTGCGTGAGGCTATGAAAAAATGCAACCGAAACATTACAGATGCTGCAAAAAGCCTTCAAAGACGATTGCATTTCAAGATCACAGTCTGGGAAGTGGCACAAGGCGTTCAAGGAGGGCCGGGAGGAGGTCGCCGACGAACCCCGTTCAGGACGCCCAACAACGGCCAGAACTGACGAGAACGTGGATCGTGTGCTCGAAGTTTTGCGTACCGACCGTCGATTAAGCATCTAGCAAATTGCTGACACATTACACATGTCCACATTTGTGGTACATGGGATAGTGACCGAGGATCTGCAAATGCGTAAGGTCTGTGCGAAGCTTGTGCCGGAAGTGTTAACGCAAGACCAGAAAAAACTTAGTTTTGCGCTGTCAAGAATTGTTGGATTTGATTCAAAATGAACCGGACTTTCTGAACTCTGTAGTAACCGGAGACGAATCCTGGATGTTTGAATACGACCCAGAGTCGAAAAGGCAGAGCTGTGCATGGCACACAAAATCATCCCCACGCCCCAAGAAAGCGCGAATGAGCAAGTCGCGCATCAAAACGATGATCATTGTCTTCTTTAACATCCGAGGAATAGTACATTGTGAGTTTGTTCCGCAGGGACAAAACTGTAAACTCAGCCTTTTACCTGGAGGTGCTCAGGAGATTGAAACGCCGGATCGCACGCGTGAGGACTGACATTAAAGACACGGTCAAGCTCCACCATGACAATGCCACCAGCCACACAGCCTTCATCATTACCAACTTCCTGGCCCGGAGCAACACCTCGGTGATCCCTCACCCCCCTTACAGTCCCGACTTAGCTCCATGTGACTGCTTTTTGTTTCCGCGACTCAAGAAAGAGATGAAAGGAAAACATTGGGAAACCGTGGAAAACATCCAACACCATGTTACAACGTTCCTGAGAAGCATTTCTGTCGAGGAGTTTCAGGGTGCCTTTCAGGCATGGCAAACGCGTCTCCGCAAGTGTATTGATGCAGGAGGAATGTATTTTGAAGAATATTGAACATTTGCACAAATTACGATCAATAAATGTATTTTGCCAGTAAATGCTCATTTCTTTCATAATGGACCCTGTATCAATACAATCTGTAACAACTAATATTTAGACAACCTATTTCTTTAATCTCTACAGACCTTACTGCAATGGTAAAATTGTTGTATGAGAGTGCTTGGCTCATCAGTAGTGAACCCTTTCAGTTGTTCCGCCAGGTATATAAGAAAATCAATGCAATACAATAGTAAAGAGATCTGAAATTAATTTGGCGAAACCACTGAGAGGGTTCACCATTGATGAGCCAAGCCCTCTTATCCACAATAACTTTCACCAATGCACTAAGGTCTGTAGAGATAAAAAAAAAAAGAAACAAATTACCTAAAAATTAGTTGTTACAGATTTTATTGATATATGGCAATGAAATTTATAAATATACAATTACTCTTTTTAGAAGGGGGTCTGTTAAAGGATGGTCTAAACCGTTGGTATTCGACGGCTACGACACAGGTTCGATTCCCGCATTGGACACTTTTTTTTTTTCTGATAAAAAAAAAATCTCCAATGGCCCCCGATTCTTGCAAAAGTTCAACCCTACCAGCGAGTGAAAGTAATCAAACTGGACTCTGGCCCATGTGTAAGTGCAAAGCTGAACTGCTTTTCATATGTGTAGACATGTGATGCACTTACAGTAAAAGCAGTCGCCTACTTCTACCTACCATGATTATCATGGTCAGTACCACGTGTACTAGGGATAAGCAAAAACCTCTTTGTAGAGATATCTCTATGGGGAATGTCCTCTCATTGATGTTCTACTGTATATTTAGAAAATCTATTTTATAACTAAATCACACAGACACATGCCTTTATTAAGACATTCCGTCTTATACAGTCGATTCTCCTGTGAGAAATGAATCTAAAAAGAAATGAGAAGCAGGGGAAGAAATTGAATCCTCGCTCAGAAAAGAGAAAAAGAAGAAAAGGAAAGAATATCTATCTACAAAAGTTAAGACTATATACATCGTTTTTCGTGCATAGAACACAGTGAAGAAGTAGATTGTAAAACGACATTTGAAAATTATCCCGCATGTGTTTCTTTTCAACGAAAAATCAAATTTTATTCCAAGGAGAAATAACGACTATTTCTATCCTTAGGGATGAGGTATGAAAGGATGAATTGTGAAGAATGATGATAAACGGAAAAAATAAAAGTGTCCAGGGATGGGAATCGAACCCACAATGTTCCGCTTACCGGGCAGATGCCATGTCCACTAGGCTACCATGGTAGATTATTGAGTAAACTTGTGAATAAAAAAATATTTCCACACAGTTCAGTTACTTTGTTAGTTTTTTTTTCTTCTTGTCGTGAAAAAAAAAAGAACTTTAAGATAGCTGACCCATTATCCATCAAGTCTGAAAGAAAGGAATACAGCGAAAAGTGTGGATGAGCAGCTCTACCGCAAAAGGTTTCTCTTTCCATTGTGAGAGACGTACATTCAAATATATTTTTATAACTAAATAAAAAGAATTAATATATCAAAAATCATTTCTAACTAATTAAAATAAGATAAATATATTATCTAAATACTCAATTAAAAATCTAATCAATTTACTATTATTTTTATTTGTAGCCAGTTAATTATTGTTATATAATTAAAATAATTAATTATCTAGTTGTGTGTAGTATTCCACAAGAGAACGAATAACAAACAACGAAAAAATTAATTATAACGAAATAATATCTCAAAAGAGCAGATAGATATTGACATTTGGGTTTAGGTTTGAAAAACTTAATATAAAAATAGAATCAAAATCGTATTTAGATATTTCGCATCAGAATCCTATATCTTCAACTATCAATAATATATCTTTTGGAATATATTGATTTAAGGAGAGAGAAAATAAATAATAAGAAACATGATCAGGATAAAACATTGAACATCACCACTTTCTACAGAATATTGATAAAAGAAATAACATATCAAGAACAAACTAAGGCATTAGTATCCTATGCAGCCACATTCATCAATATATATATTCCTTAGAATATTGATTTGAGGAAATAAAATATTAAGAAACATCAGCAAGAGAGAGATAAAGCATTAACATTGAACATCACCAAATCCTCAAGAATATTGTTAAAAGAAATAAAATATCAAGAGAACAAACTAAGACATCAGCATCCTATAGCTTCAACCTATCAATAATATATCCTTCAGAATATATTGATTTAAAGAAAAAAATTAAGAAACATCAGCAGAGTATTACTCAACAATAAACACCACCAATTTCTTCA